TCCATTAAAGGAATAGATGAATGGAAGATTGTATTTTGAACTAAGTACGGACATTTTGAATATAATGTCATGCCTTTTGGATTTACAAATACATCAATAACTTTCCAACATCTCATGAATGATGTTTTTTGAAAGTTTTTGGATGATTTTGTTGTTTGTTATCTTGACAATATTTTGATTTATTCTAAGAATATAAGAAAACATGAACTACATTTTGTCATATCTTACAAAAATTAAGAGATGCAAAACTCTATGTAAAGATAAAAAAAAGTGTATATTCCACACTATTCAAGTTAATTTTTTGGATTACATCATTTCAAATGTCGGAGTTATGATGGATCCTAAGAAAGTTAAAACTGTTATGGATTTGAAGATCTCAAAAACGCTCTGAGATCTCTAATGTTTTTTGAGATTTGCTAACTACTATCGGATCTTCATCAAGGATTTCTTTCAAATTGCAACTCCACTTACATGTTTGACTTGTAAAGACAAACTTTAATAGAATTAAGAAGAAGAAGCAACATTTGAAGCTTTAAAGATAACCTTTATTTTTACACTAATCTTGTAGCATATTGACTTTTTTAAGGCATTTTTTATAGAAATAGATGCATCGGACTTTGCTTTGAGTGCCTTATTATCACTAATAGAAATAGATGATAAACTTCATCCATTAGCTTTTTATTCTAAGAAATTCTCAACAACTAAGATTAACTGTGGAATCCATGACAAAGAGCTACCATCCATGACTTGATACTTTTGACTTTTCAAAAGTTAATAATCTTGCAACATAGGATTTGACAAATTATTTGTTAAAACTACATGCAACAATGAAGGTGCAATTAAAGGAAGTTCAAGAACGACAAAAAATCAACGAGGATGCCTATTGAAAAGAACAACTAAAATTCAATGTAGGTGACAAGGTATAGTTATTTTGTTGTAATATTAAGACTACTCATCCCTGTAATAAGTTGGACTACCATAGCCTTAGACCTTTTCCTATTTGTGAATAAATCTATCTAATTGATTATCAATTATATCTATTGGAGTCAATGAAGATCCATCTTGTCTTCCATGTGTCTCTTCTTGAAGCATACAAGACTCTGAATATACTAAGAAGAAGACAAATTCTCTCTCTTTCTATAAAAGTGGATATTAATAAAAAGTTCAAAGTAGAAGAAGTTTTAGACTCAAGGAGATGCCAAAATAAATTAAAATATTTTGTCCATTCGTGCAAATATGATATTAGTGAATATACATAGATATTAATAAAGAATCTTGTAAATGCAACAAAAACTATAGAGGCTTTTCATCAACAACATTTATCAAAATCAAGGTAAAGAATAGTAAGTCTTTGTTATAAAAGAAACAAGGTCTAGGAAAGATTGCATTCTATCTTCTATCTTTGTTTGTGATTCTTGTATATTTGTGATATTAAAAAAATAGAGAATCAACAACTAGTAGATTCGACTCAAGAGCCTTCATTTATTGATTTATCACATGAAACATTACAATTATCACAACCTTCAAGATGATGCAATTAAAATGAAGAACTTCAAGAACGACATATTCTTCCTTGAATAGATGGCGTGATACAATTCGTTTGATATCACAACTTTAGAAGGGACTTCTAATGTTTGGTGATTTTACTAGAAGTAAGAACAACTCTTGACAGTGTTTCAAATATTTTATTTGAAGGAAGTTATGAAGGCCTCAATAATGTTCAAATAACAGGGTCGTCTTTCCGCCATGGTATAAGACACTATTGATGGTCTAGATGCCCTATCAATTATGTTCAAAGAGAACAAAGATCATATTATGTGTCAAATATAATTTGTTGCATTTTGGATTTCTTCAACATATGATGACTGCTCCTCATGGAACTTGTTCTTTGAAACGAAGGTAATGTCACGGATATATACATGTAAGCCAATAATTATCTGTATGATTTGATAAAAGTAGATAAAAGTAGGTTAATTCCATAATATTTTCTATAAAAGCTTTTTAGAAGCTTTATAGACATTACTTTGACTTTATAGGTTTCTATAATTGACTTTTTAGGTTAGAAATGTGGTCAATAAGTTGGCCATGTGCCACACATATTGGTAGCTTGAAAAACAAGCTAATTATGTAGCCCACATGTAGAAAACTTATCTTGTAAGCTAAAGCATGTATCTTGCAAAGTCAACACATATTAGAAGTCGTATAGAATATTGCCATATAGCTCTTAGTTAGATAGTATATATAGAAGCAAGAGTAAAGCCCTCTTCACTCTTATCAATTCTTTTCTTGCTTCTAGTCTAGATTTAAGAATCTCTAGTTTCCTTGTCTTTTGACAATAGTCATTCTAGTTTCCTTTTAATATACATATTACTTTATTAATATTTTATCACTTTTTTTTAACACAAATTTTCTAGGTTTATGCATCTTCTTCCAATTCATGTTCTTGATATAATGTGATTTGGTGTAGATGTTAAAACAACCTCAATCATGTCTATCTTCACTTCTTGCAAATCTTAATGCATTTTGTGGTGGTAAAGTGAATTAATGCATTATAAGCATTAATTATCTTAATTGTTCTCCTATTTGAACTATTACATTCTTCATTTTAACAAGCTCTAATATGATGACATATAAAAAAAATTCCTAATATTACTTAAGATATATAAAAGAAAAGACCTAAGAACAAAAAAAATACTACAAATAAAATCAATTAAAAAGTAAATAATCTTCATTTTCTAATATGCTTATATCTTATCAAGAGATTGAGATAATCTATTCTTAATCAAGAAAAAAAAAAACTCTTATATTATAAATGTACTCTTATCAATTTTTCAAGGATAAAAACTTGATGAATGCAAATAAAGAAATGAAAAGTTTTTAAAAAAAAGATGACAAAAAAATACAAAAATAAAAATATATATTAAAAAATAAAAATAAAATAAATACTATTAATAGATAAGAAAATTAGAGATCTTTAAGTTTAAAATAGAAATAAAAAAAGAGTTCACAAGAGTCAAGAAGACTATCTAACTGAGAGCTATATGGCAACATTCTATAAGACCTCCAGTATATGTCAAACTTGTAAGATACATGTCTAACTTGTAAGACAAGTTTCTTGTATATGCGCCATTTATCTAACTTATGTTACAAAATATTAACATATACAATACATAGCCAACTTGTTGGGCAAGTTTTTTAACTTCTAATCACATATAGCCACATATAATTACAAAGCTGTATCTATAAAGCTTCTAAGAAGCTTTTCTATAAGATATTATAGAATTTATTTATTTTAATCTATTTATACTTACTTGTATTATCTAGGTGATTATTGGAGTAAATATAGATGCTTGTGATATATGTGACCTAACTCATATTTCAAATATTATTAAACTGAGCTTTGTTGTATAGATTGCTTATAGTAGAGGAATTTGAGTGGTGAGTTTAGACATGGAGAAGCTTCAACTTGGTCAATTTGTAGACAAAATATTGTCGAAGATTGTGCACTCAAAAAATACCATAGTGAATATGGACAAACAAAAAGAGAATCATTAGTGTGCTCTTGAGGATGGTGCAATTCTTAAAAAGTTGATGGTTGATGAGATTCAATTCTAGCATCATTGCATGCTAGAGCTTGAAATAGAAATCAAAAGACTAGAGATAATGAAATGTATTTAAATATAATATATGCATGTGTCTTATTTATCATCTCTTTGAGAATTTTCTAAAAAGTGCTTAGATTAATAGGTGGCCTATGTCATAGGAGCATCAATAAGCTAATTAATCTTATTCGTCCCTAATATGTATACTCAAAATCAAACAAAAAAAATAATCTTGTGTAAGAAGATCATTACAGAGAGAATATTGATGCTACCAAGAGAGATGTCAACAATACCCTAGACATGTAAAATTTGATGCAAGTTTTACATGAATATTGCACTCAATTTGGAAAAAAAACAAAACAAAATAAAACAAACAAACAAACAATTTGACTCCTATAAATAAGTACATGGTTTTTGTCATTCATAATCTTAAAGCTAATACATTAACTATTAAAAAATAGTGTACTCAATCATAACTCTTATTGTCAATTGCATTGAGCATGGAGCTACTGGATTATTTTTTGTAACAGCATAAGCTCATATTCTCAATTTGCAGCAAAATAGTCCAATCCTAAATATAGCTGAAGCTTTAGAAATGCACACAAGCACTAAGAAATACAACGAAGAGGCTGGAGGGAGTGCTTGATGAATATTAGGAGATGCTGGAAGTTCCATTGCATATTTAATTTCTTTGGTTTTGAAAAAATTATGAAAAGTATTTTTTTGGCTTATAAACATGTCTTTGAAAAAAATGCTCAGTTGGAGTTAGGTTTTTCGTGACAAAGGCATTGGTTTAGTTAATTGTTCTTACAACAACACTTTAATACAAATATTCTTTACTTGGCCTAACTCCCGTGGATTCCCATGCTTCCCCTCCTACATATTGATGCTATCATTGTTGACTACCTCAAAGAGAATTAAGAGTTGTCAAAGTTAGGGGCCTTGTGAATTGGTGCATATAAACTTTCTGTTTGATGAGAACAATGAGGCACACAGCAAATCAGACGGCTGTTTGTCTCCTTTGGTTTATCCCATGTATTTGTCCCTCAAGCTGTATAATATAAGATATATATATATATATATATATATATAGATGAATGATGGCATTCGTCGATGTGCAGGGAGAGATGGTGGGCGTCGGCTTCGGAGGGAGGGCACCACCCGCACTATGCGTGGGCTCGATTTGCTCATGATTTGCGAGGCCTTCCAGCGACGAAATTCCATCGCTGATTGATGCGCATCCAGTTTGATTGCACTGCTGTCGCTGCTTGTGGGTTTTTTTGACTCGAGGAACAAACCAACTCCGAGTTCGGGGTGACGGTTATCAACACGCACTGCATTTGAGGTCGGAGCTGGCCTTGTCAGGTCGTGCGGGCTCGATTGATTTGCGGGGTACTGGGGCTGCATTCTCTTGTGTCGCGTTGTTTGATTATGATTTTTTCTTCTAGAATTGCTGCATGTTTTAGAGAATTCAGTTCGTGCTTTCTCTTTTGGGGTCCCCTGTGGACTGGATATTGCGTTCATCGACAGGTTTCCCAGTCGTTTCTGCTTTTTGTGGGGCGTTGGGAATGTGTACCCAGAGGAAGTATCTTGGTAAAGGTTTACTGACGCGAGGGTGTGAAATGGTTTACAACTCAATGCTTGTTTAGATTATCAGTGTTACAGTGGAAGACCTTGTCAAGATAAGTCTTCTAGACTTTTCTGCTGGTTTTTCCCCTCAGTGTCTTCAGGTTTATGTAGGAAGGGTACGTTGTGCCCAGAAGAAGCGAATCTAGGGTCTCAAATTGAGATTGGTTGTAGGGTTAATGAATTCTCAAAAACAGGAGCGAGGATAGATTCCTTCAGCTTCTATACTCTTTTGCTTGTCAATTGTTCCTTCTCTCACACCTTCTGCAACGTGTCTTTACAGTTCTTTCACCATTTATATACTCTTCTTGTATGTGAATGCCAACATACTTCCTCTCAACTTATTCTCGTGTAAGGGACACACCGAACACTTGAGCTATGGCGAAAGTCGGAACCGGTAATCCGCAGGCTTACCTCTACCGCATTAGCCCAGAGGAAGAATGGGCTGCGTCACAAGCTGCCGGAGCGTTGCAAGGCGGGGAGCTGGATACTTCCTCTGGCTACATTCATCTCAGCACTGGTGCGCAGGTAAATCACTTTATGTTTTGCTCCTCAGTGATTCGATTATCGGTGGCACTTATTTGGGGCGTAGCATGTGATTCTTGACGACATTGGGATTCTCCCTATTGTGAATGAGTCGATGAAGAGAAACCTACTAACCCACCAAAGTTATCAACCACGGATCACTGGTGCTCACTCGGAAATGAGTTCCATATAAACTTCATGCCATCAGATTCCTCGAATCATGTTCTACTATGGTAGCGTGCTTGAGTGCCATGCGAGGAGTACCTTAACGTAACCCTTGGTTGATTTGGTGTGATTAAATGAAGGTCTCTGGGACCCTCGCAATGTTTTTCGCTGGGCGGACCGATCTGTACCTGCTCAAAGTCGACTCCTCGAAGGTTTTTGTTCATGTTCCATTAACTCAATCACCGTCGCATGTTTTGTGCACCTCGTGCTTCCTGCACCACATTTCAAGGCTGCCACGCCCTGGCAGAGAATAATAGAGTGAACTTTAAACAATGCAAATCCAGCTCCTCCTTGCTAGTACTAATTGCCATGTTGTGCTCTGCTACACTCTGGTTTTATAATGCTGCACCCTGACACAAAACCAGTGTAATTTCTTACTGGATGGTGATGTGTACTCCGCAGCTTGGTGATGGATTGCGCTACGATGAAGTAGAAGGTGTAGGTATTTTCCCCCATTTCTATGGTCCTGATGGGACCTTTACCCCGCTGCCTCTGAGTGCTGTGGAAGCTTCAGCCAAGATAGAGCTGGAGAATGGGCAGCACAAGCTCCCATTTGATCTTGCCAACGCTGCCTCCTGATCTGTAATTAGCAGGATGCTATACATTGTTTTGCTTCAGTTTCCTTTAGTTTTGATATAATTCACCAGCTCTGTGTTACATTGGACATGGTTTTCACGACTTGATAGGGAAATTCATGAACGTGAGAATTGCCTCGCCGATTCTAATTTTCTCCTATCGTGGGAGAAGTAAGAACATGGACTTGTGGATAGATTGTGGTTTTTATTGTCCAAAAGCAAGGTGATCTGTGGTTTCCACATGTAGTCACATAGAAGACCCACATTTGCAACATGAGGCTTCCAAATCCATGGTTTCTGTAGGATGTGATTGAACTCAAAATTCAAATTTCTTTTAAAAAAATCATATATGAAAACATAATGAAATATGTTCATTTTTTTAATGTTTAACTATTGGTGGACTGTTTTATAAATAGAATTTTGTATTATTGAAGATAGTAGATGGCTTTTTCATCTATTTAGTGCAGATTATGATTTATATATGGTATTTGGTTAAATATTAAATGGTTTAAAGAGATTTAATAATACCAATTTCTTTTTTTTGAATTTTTTCTTAAAAATATTTTCAAATTATAGCTTGTTTATGGGAAAATATTATATATATCCCTCAAATATGCCGAAATATCAAGAATATCCTTGTATTCTTGATAATAGAAAATTTATCCTTAACTTTTGTGACAATAGCAAATGTATCTTCAAATGTGACAATTTAATACCAATATTCTTTTTTTAGTTGCCATTTGGGACTAAAGTGTGCCTTTTGCCATATAGATTTTGGCCTTGTCCAATTTCGACTTTTTGACAATTGCAAAAAATTTGATTCCTTTTCTTTTTTCAATTTGGAAAGTATAAGGATGCTACAACTTGTAGATTCTAGACTTGTTAATGTGCACATCTAATTCAACCACATCTTTGACACGCCTTTGGTGATGGATCAATATTGAAAAAAAAATTAGTAATCAAATCCTTCATTGCAAAACTCTTATATCTTATTGCATTAGTATAACGTAAAATTATATATTGCAATGACATCTAAAGTGAGAAGTAATTGTTTTTTTTTCTAAAGAAAGTAGTTCCATGGATGCCAAGATTAAAAGCTGATAAATTGATATAGGTTTTGACTTGCTGCCAGCAAATTGTGATTGCCAAATCCATCCTTTTGTGACTTATGGATTTCACAATTTAGAGATAGAAACAACTAGCATGAGTACAAGACAAGTTAAGGTTCTCTTTCACAAGCTTATATTCTATAAGTGTATGTGATATGTACAAAAGCATGAATTACACAAAGCACAAACATCACATCAAGATTCATCATTTTTATTTATTTATTTTTTATTTTTTTAGAAAATATTTTTATTGATGCTTACAGATTTTATTGCAAAACTTAAATATTCGTCACCAATAGCATGATGGTTTTCTTTTGTTTTTAAAAATGTATTGCATTCTTTAAAAAAATTATATATATATATATATATATATATATATATATATTCATTACTCTTTTTTAACAAAATGTATTGTTGTTTTTATTGCTTCTTCCAAATTGTTATTGAAGGCTTGAATGCCCTTGTAATAAGAAAATTGGAGCACTTTGAAAGCAAACTACCCAATAGAAAAATATGCACAATTAGTATCTGTATAACATTAAGAAGCAAAATAAAAGTTTTTGTACTATTCTGAATAGTTCCAACTACTGTATGGAGTAACAACCCCAGATAAATATTTTTTTATAAAAACGATTAGGAGAAAATGATTGAAAAAAATATGATAAAAGAAGTCATTGAGAATATCATTAAGTAATAACAACATAATAAACTTTATGCCCGATTTATGAAATATAAGCATTTTCATTATAAACTGAAAAAATTGAAGAGCATTTTTTTGATCGTTAATTTTCACTAAGAATGTGAAGGTTTAGTCAACAAACAAATTAAAAAAAATATGAATGTAACCTTAATGGAAAGAGTATTCAAGAGTAGCACCAAAACTAAATAAAATGAAAAAACTTGAGTCTGAACTTGAAAACCCAAGTATTTAAAAGCTTATCAACAAATCACACTTGATAATGAACTCTGTAAAATTAAACTTAGTCTCTGCACACACAGAAATTTAACTTACTTTTTCGAACCACAACATTTGAATATGAACTGTCAATCCAAGTTCCTAGAATACTCTCAGGTGCGCAGATGTTTTGATGGATTTTCAATTAGATAAAGTTGATTTGTGTTGTGGTGGAAGCATTCAATGTGAAGAGTGTTGGAGAAAGGGTTTATCTCTTTACAAAATGATGAATGCGGCAATCCGAAACATAATCTTTTTGGTGGGTTCCCATCCATTCATTGCTTGTTTTTCCTTTTACAATTTGGGCGTTGACAGTGAATCAGCAGGGGACAATGCTTTTGTCTTATAGGAACAGATGCTGCAGTGAGATTTTAGACTTGGACGCATTATCACCGAGACCAGGCAGCATGCTGCACAATTCCTGTGGGATCAAAACCATATCTCCCCGTCGAAAATGAGAACAATGAGCCAGCATGAGTGAATCACATGGTCCTCGCCTTTTCCTGTCCAAGATGAACTTTCCTCAAGATCGATCTTTGGTAAAGTTTGTCCGTTCTTTGACGTGACGCAAAAACGTCAAGCCGCGAGGAAAGAGTGCATGTCGCAAACCGTACATGAGAATCTCATGGGATCAGAAACGGTGCAGCTCTCTTGACAGGTGTCCGTCCTGCCATTGAGCTCCCCGTCAGTGTGAGCTTCAAGCAATAAGAAGTGATAGATTGGGGTTCGAAGACTATTGCGCATCACATCGTACATTGTCATCCGAGCATTGTTAGCGTCTCCCGATTCGGTGTTCTTTGCAGTGTTTTGTTACGAACTGCAATCAGGTCGAGCTAGATTGCTAGTCATGGCCTCCACCCGCAGCCTCTTCCTGGTGATGGTGTGCCTCATTGCCGTGTGCACAATGGCCGCAGCCGTGCAGGCGGAGCCGAACCAGTACGCGGAGTGCGGGGAGCAAGCCTACGGTGCGCTGTGTCTGTTCGGAGCTTGCTGCAGCAAGGACGGCATGTGCGGCTTCGAACCATCTTTCTGCGGCAACGGCTGCCAGAGTGGTCCTTGCGAGAGGAAGGGAGCTAATTGAAGCATCAGCAGCACCAGAGTGGGGGAATAACTCGCTGCAGCACGGTCCGGAGAGTGATGCTGTGAGGGTTCATAGTGCGCTTCCAGTGACGCATGGCGACTGATGTAGGCTTTTCGTCAGTCGCTGAAGAGTAATTAGGCTCGAAGACATGTCTCGAGCTGCTCATCGTCGCACTTGTGGGAAAGTGCTGCAGATAGCGCCGTTAGATAGGTAGTGGCTGTGAGAAAGCCGCTCACTACCTCATTGTGGATAGATCACGAAGTGGTCATCCTCAAGGTGGTGATGCAGGTGTATTGTACCTGACCTTCGAATTGGCGGAGTGGGTTCTCTCACTTGTGCTCTTTGGACTTCGGAACTTGCTGGTCTCTATCCTATGCACTGTCTTCAACTAGTCTAGTATCTTGTCATGTGTTGTAGCTGATTGTCCCCTTCGATTCCAGCATTGCATCTGAAGATACAATTCATTCACCGGACTTCTATGGGCTCCTCTGGTTTCGTTGCTTTCATTTGGAGTCTAGACTTATTAGTGGTTCTTCGCAACGCGAAGGTTTAGGTCATGGCCGTGGGTCCTAGTCAGTGTCGGTACACTAGATAGCGAAATCCAGCATAGCGTATTGGCCACCTCAAGCTTCACTTTTCGCAAATTCGGACAGAATAACGAATCACATTTTTGTATCATGTAACGCTCAAGCCCACATGCACGAACCAGCTGATATTGAAGTATAAAGGTTAATTCTATGGGTCAGTTTGAAAGATTTTTTAATTTCGTACATTCATGAAAATATCTCATTGCATCCTTGACAAACTCCTTTACATCAATCTCTCACTCTTTGTGTTTCACCAGATTATGGAATGTTGACACCAGAAATACCATGGCCCACTTGCAACCTACCTTATTAATGACGCCTTATCAAAGAAAGAAAAAGTAAACAAATCTTTGTCGAACATGAGAATTGATAAGATAGTAGGTGAACTCGAAAACATCATGTGATAAACATATCCCTGTTTTTCTACATTCCGTTTAGCTTTTACCCAAAGCAAATACTCATGAAGAAGCCACAATATATCTCGTATTAAATAGCTCAGGGAGAGGGACAAATACATGTAACAAGCAAGAAGAAATAAATTATTTGAATTTAGCATTACAAATCAAATGAGACATATGTAATCACACTAATAAATGATGAAAAAAATAGAAAAATCATATTTAACTTGAATTTAAAAACGGAGATGATTTGCTAACTTTTTTACTGCTGAAGGAAAATGGAAAAGAAATTAATCATATTGAAGAGGAAGGGAAGGAGTATAATATGTAAAATGTGTTGAGCTTTATTTACGAGTGAACAAAATGTTTAGAGGCGACTTCCACTGTTCCAAGGATGAATTGGCATTTGGAACTAAAATTTTACTCTTTGAATCTTCTGTGTGCTTACATGTTAACACAACTATCTGCATTCTTATTACATCAACTCAATATGCCACTTTATTTTTGTCAAAAATATTCTTCATGATTTTTTTTTCTATTCATCTAATGAAATGCTTTTATGGTGTGCGTAAACATCAAAATCTTATTGCATACAAATTGCCAAAAAATTAAATTACATAAAATAAATGTGATGTTTTTGGTAATCTATCAAAATGTATAAATATATAAATTTATATAATTATCATATAATTTTCAGTGTGATAAAATAAATAAATATATGTATAGAATGCATATATATATTTGTATGTGTATAGGAAGTGTTGTAGGACTATGCCTTAGACGGGAACTAATCTTGCCTGAGTGCGGCAGAAATACTTGACATGTTTCGTGCATCATCATGCTCAGTATCCAAGAACCTGCTTGAAGCGGACATGAGATCTAGTCCAAACCCGTTTGAACAGATCACGGCGGACACTCATGAGACGCAACGAGAAACTCATGCGGCAAACCCTAGCCGCCCAAGAGATGCGAGTTGACCTCCCAAAGACCTATCTTTTGAGTTTCCGTTCATTGATTTATATTGGCGGAATACAGTTGGTTTGGATGCCTCATTCGCCTAAGTATGGGCGTAACAAGAGCTTATTGGCGTAGGCAGGATTAGGGCCAAGCCAGATCTTATCCTTGCATGAGTAGGGCTACTCTCCGTACAAGATCAAACTGCTATTCAGTTACTATTTGAGTCGTGGTTGACGCATTGCGGGCAGCGATACATAGTACTGTTTGATTGCGTGATTGTGTCGCGGCTGTGGATCTCCACGATACTTCATGTATGAATCGGCGTAACAGGCCTTGAATTTGCCTTTGCGTTTGCAATGTTTCTCCACTTGCAAAGCTACTTGATCACCAATATAAAAAGATATGGTGTAATACATTTTCTTGTCATAACCTCCTTTTTGCCACAGCTGTACTTTAGCTCGAGTGTTTTCTTTTTTTTGATATAAGAGGGTATCATCCCAAGCAAGGTATTGGGGAAGGTGAGACCTAATTTGCTTCTTCATTGGAATGCTCACGTTGGCTGGTATTGAGCCAGTCAAGCAACTTGCTAGTGGAGCCTCATACATCTCGTTCTCCATGATGTACTGCGAGTTGTGGATAAAGCAGCTGACTGTGTGAAGGTATGGTGAGAAGTGGCTGCCTCAAGGAATCTCTTCCCTAAATGCGTTGCTCAGCTGTCCCAACAGGGAGCTTACAAGGTTTCAGTCGCTAAGTATAGTAGGTGGTCGTGTTACTTGGGATTACTGTACATCACCTCGTCAGCTCATGTGCTGTTTGCTTTGCTGATCATGCTCTGTTCTTGTATTGTGTAGTATCTCCTGAAGAGAAAACCGAGCATAATGTGATTGAGAGAGTAACGATTGAGATACGGGTTGATTGTGCTAGTTCTTATAAAAATAAGAGAGTAAATTTTGATTTGAGTGGACAAGAAGTCCATTGCAATGTGCTGCTGAGGTACTACGGTGATGCGTGAGTTACAAAGAGGAGATTGATTTAGATCTGAATATCTAGCTAATGTGATGTGCGAGTGATGGGAATATAAATGATTGACGTAATCAAAGTGAGCAACCTAGACCTAGTAGAGTGGTTTCAATGCAGCGGTTGTGGGCGTCGATGCCTCCTTGGTGGAACACAGGTGGATGACGTCTTAGATATGTTGGTTGTGTGCATGCTGAGAGGTAGGTTTGCAAACGTTGAATATGGCTTGGGGGTTGCATAGGTGGTCATGGTCAACACATCCTCATCCTTGTGTATTCTACCCGATTTGTAAACAATCTAGTATTTGTATGATTGTAACAGAAGTGCCTAGCATGCAAGGTGGCCCATAAGATCATGGGAGGTCATGAGTGCATGGAAAGGTGCATGATCTGTCTCGAATGTGAATCGGGAGCTGTGAAAGTAAAGTTAGTATTTTACGCCGAATAGTATTGCTAGCCCTTTTTGATCAAAAATATTGTAATTTTGCTTGACTTTGGAGAATCCACTCAATACGTAGGCCAGGATGTGTTCATGATCATCATTGACTTGGCTCAATATGGCACCAATGGAGACTCAAGAAGCATCTGTTTGGAGTTGAAAGGGTTAGTTGAAGTGAGAGTAGATAAGTAGGGGCACTGTGAGTTAAAATAAACCTTCACTAGTTGACTCAAGAAGTTTATTAAAGTTCACAAAAAGTAAATTAATTATAGAAATCTTAGAAATTTTAGTTCTTATTTAAATCTTCATTAATTTATACAAAAAACTCTTTAAATCATCCAAGTAGTTGAGCAAAATCTTTATTACCAACTCATACTTATAATAATGTCTCTCAACAAATTCCAAGCAATCAAAAAATTGAATGATATGATTTTAATTTCAATTGAATGTCTATCTTAATTTAGTTTCTATTTAATTAAAATTCATCCATTGACAAAATTTCATCCTTGAATTAAATTTCATCCAATTTCAATTGTTCATCCAATTTAACCTAAATATAACCCTAATCCTACTTCATTCAAAGCTAACCTATGATTGTCTAACCTTAGCCTCATCTACTATAACTTATCCTATCCTAGATTTTAGTCTGTACCTAATTTCTCACCACGCAAGGGGTATTCAGTGAAGGGTGGGTGCCGAATCCTAGTTCACCGCACAGAAGTGGCACTGGAATAAAAATAAAATAAAAAAAACTGCTGCAACTCGTTCGAACAGACCGCAACCACAATCAAGGGAACCAAAGAAGGCCTGGAGCAAACTCAAAGCAACCGCCGCCTACCACCTTTGACCAACAATCCAGAACACCCACTAGGGCCGAAGGAATGGAAGAATGGTGATAAGTGCAGGACCAGTGAGAGGGAAGCAATCCCGAGCCGATGAAGATCAGCTGTTGTGTGTCTATCTCAGTTGTTGTTCCAGAATTATAACTTAAAAATTACACACTTGTCATGCGCAACATGGGTCTGTGCTAAGGAACTTCCAAACAAAAATGACAGAGCAACAAGTGCTACATGCAGTGCCAATCATTCTATTGTGGTGGACACCATTTTGGACTGCTTGGGTCCTGGAACGTCGAACCTCGTGATCAACAGATCGACCCTGACAATACCAACTATCTCCACCTACACTACTTGAACCTGTTCTGAAAAAACTAGAGTTGATACAAACTCCTCGTGGGAATGGCTGCACTCACTTACTGTATCTCCAATAAGCTCACTTTGCGACACTTCAAGCTGCATCCGACCTTCCCGAAATGTACTCGAGGATACAACAAAAAAAGAACACTTGCTCCTGGACCGCGAGAAGACGAGACTAGCCAGGTTCACGGCACTGCAGTCTCTTCGCTTCTTCGCAATTCAACGAGGTCAACGAGGAAGGGACCTGAACACGTGCGCGGCCAGCGCAATTTGACCGCCGCACGTGTCAGAATAGAGTGGAACCAACAAACAACCAAAACCCTGGGCAGCAGTGCCTTGTCGACAGCCTACGCTCCATGTCGCCGCATTGCACTTCTCCGAGCTTCGAACTATAAGAGAAAACAAGAAGAAAAATGAAGGACTGCAACCGAAGCTCCACCACCGCTCCAACTGCAATTTCTCAAACTCCAATACCGCCGTACTCAACCGCCAGCATACAACCAAGGCACGCAACCAGGGAGGAATTCGATGTCGAAGGAGAATCCACACAAACCAAGGCACGCAACCAGACTCGATGCGATTCTAGTCGCAGTCAACGTCAATCGCAGCACACAGCCGCCACAGCAAACATACGAAGGGCTAGCTTCTGCGCACCCCAAAAGAGAAGAAAAAACCAAAAACAAAATGCAAACCTAATTGTAACACAAAAAACGAAGATAAAGACGTAGCAGAACGTTGAAGCAAAAGCCACCTCAATGCCACCACTCTAGAAATTCACGAGGCCCTCATGGCCAATCTAAACAGCCGCAACCAATCTTTGATGCAACTCAACATAGTTGCAAGGAATTCTTAAGCAAAAACACTGGTGTAAAATTGAGCGGAAAACAACCCAAGTGCATTGCTCCATAATCCTTGGTGGAAAATTGAGTGGAAAACAATCCAAGTGTATTGTTCCATAATTCTTGGTGGAAAATTGAGCAGAAAATAATCCAAGTGCATTGCTCCATAATCCTTGGTGGAAAATCAAGCAGAAAATAATCCAAGTGTATTGCTCCATAATCCTTAGTGGAAAATTGAGCAGAAAATAATCCAAGTGCATTGCTCCATAATCCTTGGTGGAAAATCAAGCAGAAAATAATCCAAGTGTATTGCTCCATAATCCTTAGTGGAAAATTGAGCAGAAAATAATCCAAGTGCATTGCTCCATAATCCTTGGTGGAAAATCAAGCAGAAAATAATCCAAGTGTATTGCTCCATAATCCTTAGTGGAAAATTGAGCAGAAAATAATCCAAGTGCATTGCTCCATAATCCTTGGTGGAAAATCAAGCAGAAAATAATCCAAGTGTATTGCTCCATAATCCTTAGTGGAAAATTGAGCAGAAAATAATCCAAGTGCATTGCTCCATAATCCTTGGTGGAAAATCAAGCAGAAAATAATCCAAGTGTATTGCTCCATAATCCTTAGTGGAAAATTGAGCAGAAAACAACACAAGTGCATTGCTCCATAATCTTTGGTGCAAAACAACCCAAGCATATTCCTCCATAATCCTTGCAGCTCCACTTTCAGTATGCAAAAATAAGAAGAAAAGAAGGGATTCAGGGCAGCCCGGACCATTGTTGGCAAAGAGGTTGTAGCAAAATCAAGGGCATCCTCTCGCCCTTGTGATCATCTTTTCTTTTCCTTCTATTTTTTTTTTTTTTTTTTTTTTTTTTTCGCTTTATCTCTTCTTTTTTCTTTTCTTCTTCTCCTTCTTTTTTTATTTTCTTTTAACTTATGTTTTTATATATATATATATATATATATATATATATTAAAATAATTATTAATAAATTAATTTTTATTTTATATTATTTTATTTTTGATAGCAAGGACTATTGCCATTGGGCCATCATTTAATATTAGCTAACAAAAAAAATATTCATCATAGAAATTTGTCTTAATAAACTCTACTTTAGGTTGCATATCTGCTATTAGTAGTCTATTTTCTATTTTTTGTAAAAATTCTACTACTAACTCACAAAATCTATGATTTTAAGTACAATAATTGTATTTTTTGTACCAAATATGTATCAAGGACATGAATCTTGAAGAAAGAAAATTGTCAATACAATCTTGTATCACTTAAGAAAATTAAAAAATCACTTAAAGTTGATATAATATTAAATTAGAATCACTATTGCTAAAAATAAAAATAAAAATAGAAAGACTTGAAATAAGACTAAGGACTAGAAAGGCATTGATAAGAGTAAAAAAGGCTTCACTCTTGCCTCCATATATACTCTCTAACTAAGAGCTATGTGGCAATATTCTATAAGACCTCTAATATGTGTTGACTTTGCTAGTCACATGTCTTAACTTACAAAGCAAGTTATCTGTGTATGTACCATATAATTAACTTGTTCTACAAAATACTACATGGAGATAACTTGTTGGCTAAGTTTCTAACCTATAAACACATCTAAAGTCAAAACTGCATCTATAAAGCTTCTAGGAAGTTTTTCTAAAAGACTTTATGAAATTAATCTATATTTACCTACTTCTACATAATCATATAAGTAACTATTGGAATAATTATATATTATTGTGACATTTCCTTCCCTTTTAGGAATAAGTTCCACAAGGAGTGGTCATCATCTTTCATAGATCTTACAATTCTTCATCTTAGTTTTGTTAGATGTCGTCAATAAAAAGTCTCAATCTTCTTTGTTGCATTTGCAAGATTATTTATTGGCTCCCATGTGTATTCACTAATATTGTATCCGTACCAATGAACAAAATATTCTAATCTATTTTGGCGCCTGCTTTGAATCTAAGATTTCTTCCACCTCAAAATCTTGATCATTATTAACTTTTATGAGAGGAGGTGGCATTTGTCTTCTTTCCAAAATATTCAATATCTTATATGGCTCAAGAAGAGACACATGAAATATAGGATGAATCATTATAAACTTTGGTAGATGTAATCAATAAGCAATAATATTGATTTGTTCACAAATAGGAAAAGATTGCAGCTTATAATAGTCTAATTTATTATAAAGATAAGTTGTCTTGATATTGCGATGAAATAATCATACCTTGGCACCTACATTGAATTGTGGTTCCTTCTTGTAATAGGCATTTGCGTTGATCTTTTGTCATTCTTGAGCTTCCTTTAATTGTGTCTTTATTCTTGCATGTAGCTTTGACAAACAATTTTCTAAATCTTCTGCCGTAGGATTATCAACTTTTGAAAAGCCAAAAGTATCAAGTCATAGATGATAACTATAATTGGTAAAAAAAAGTATTTATTGAAAAGAAGAATGTATCATATTATTGTAACAAACTCTGCCAATGGCAAAAGAGTTGTCCAAGTATGTTAATGATAGTTGATGGTACACTTCAAATATTGCT